GTACCCAGGTTCTAGCCAATGAGAACATGGTTTTGGCAATCGCAGAGGTGTTGTGGGTACCACACACCTGTCTGCCCTTGTCATTCCCATTCTAGAGCTGGTTGAAGCACGGTCTGCTCTCTAGTGGCTTCTATTCTGCCTTGCTTACCGTGGAGTGCACTAATACCTATTGTTGTACATAGTGTATATAGTGTACATACTTTTGTTCTTGGCGAAGGATAATATAAATCAAAAGCTTTTCTGCTGTGTTTATTTTCCTCCCTTTACACCCAGGTTAACAGGCCTTTGGACATCTGGGTTGTAATAGAGCCCTATACACAAATAGCTCCTATGACAGGGGCACGGAGAGCATTCTTGCCAGGTGGACTACCGCTTACAGCCCTACGACAAGGAAAAGGTGAGCCGTCTTTGTGTCAAATGGAGTACCGTTTACCGCTCTATGGCGAGGGCAGCCCTATCGCAAGGGCAAGGTGAGCATTTTTGTCAGGTGGAGTACCGCTTACAGCATAATGACAAGGGCGCGGCGAGTCTTCAGTGATTTAGCAGTTAGCTACAATCGTCTTCGACGCTTTGGAGTCAAGGCTGGTGTTATCTCTGGTAAAAAGGTCTGCTCCATCAGGGCAGCAGCCCGAGTGCCAGAGCGACTTCATCAGATTCTCGGGATGGAGGACTGTCTGTTTTATTTTCATTGGGGTTTCAGTCTTGCCCCCCAGGATGTGACCCCTACCAGCCGACTAATACTGAGGTACCTACTTACATGTCAAACATGTAAACATGTCAAACGTTTCCACTCGACCGGGGATTGAACCACAGACACTTGTCAGGCGAGAGCGTTGCCTACTAAGCCAAGGTTAGTGTTGCTCACTTATCTACAGTCAAGTGAAATACACATTTTTTTTGTAATAAACTTAATGAGATACTTACCTACATGCAACACGGTCCTTTACCTTATGTGAACCCATTTCAGATCTGTACCTTTTCAAAGTTGTAAAGATTTCATTTGGACACTTCTAGGTTTAGTTTAACCGTAATGCATCGCATAATTTGTGGCTTTCTTTTGTGCCTACTAATGTTTTACTACATGTAAACAACATTATTTATACCACATAAAAAAATGAAAATTGTAATGTATCTTATCTTACTGTCCCCGGTGTGCCGGGTGTTAGGGGCCACTTAAGCGTCATCTGTGGTGGTCCGGAATAACCTCCAACAATGACAACAACAGCGTTTTGCGCCAGCCTTCGTCAGTAAGTTTATTCAGGTACAGGTACACATAAATATAGTTACATAAATTATCATATATAGCAGCATATGTGTAGATTACCTATGACGTCTCGCTGTTTTTTTTTTTTATCAGTAATAAATTTCCCCCGTTCTCTCTGGGACACCTGTTCCCATCATACTTTTCCGGCTGGGCACGTTACAAGACAGGCACGACTTACGAAATTGTAATGACACGATTGCAAACAAACCATCGGTTTAATTTAAGCCACCTCCATTTTTCCGCCTGCGGATAATTCATTTAATGGTTTTAGTGGAAAGCCGGTTACTGTGTGTAGGCGTCGCCATCTACTGAGGCTTGGTGAAAGTGGTCCATCTTGTCTGTTTGGAAACTTCTAGTTTTTATTTATAAAGGGACTCATGTTACCTCTCCATTCATCGCCCAGGTAATTTACACAGATGTTACTGATGCATGTTAATTTGTGCAACTGTTTATGTATACGTATACCTAAATAAACATAATTTTGTACATCGGGAAGCACGGCGCAATATGTAAGCTGTCACTTGCTCTTACAAACCCAACAGCTGCATGTTAGGTTTTAATAATAATGATAATAATAATAATAATAATAATAATAAAAAAATTTTTATTTGACATAACGTAGTTGTACAAAGAATTATAGAGTTGGGTGACATGCCAAAAGCCCCTGTATACAGAGTATTATGGCAGTTAAAATTAACTAACATTGATAATTCATGGTAAAAATTACAGTAAATAAATTACAACAAAAGTAAAAATTTGAGTATTTTAAACTGAAATTTGAACATTTCATTAAGAAGCATTATATTGTACAAATTTGTAGCTTTAAACAACGTATAACAAAATGTTTCAATATACTAAAGAAGCATATAATTATTAATCCGATCAAACGAATAAAATCAATGATTTTTTAACGCAGAAAGTTAAATTGTCATTAGAGATTTTACTGTGCATTCAAGAGAATGAATTATTGTATTACGTAATGTAATTAAAAAAAAGTTTGATAGGGTTAGCTTGTTATTAAGGTATTTTAAATACATTACGGCGGTTGTTCTCTCTCTTACAACATAAATATATTTTAATTTGTACGTAATCTCAATAAATATTTAAAAAAGCGAATTTTGCTGTTTATATTAGAAGGTTTTTAAAATGAGTTTGGGAAATTTGTGACCTGAGATACGAGTTTGAGTATAATTACGTATTTTTTGTAATGAAAATTTTTTTTTTTTTACATGTAACAGACATTTTATGGCTAGGTACTAACCACTTTGTGTTTTTGCAAATTTTCATATATTTGATTTATTTACCTCGGGTATTGCCCGGGTCCTTTTGGATAATTTTGAAAAACCAAGTATTTGAAGGTGACTTTATTTATGACCGGACAGTTAATTTCAGAGTATCGCATCTGTTTATGAAATTTTTAAAGAAAATTTTGTTGCAAATTTTGAGTTAAAAAACTTGTCTACAAAATATAAGAGGGGCCATCAGTAATCAGGGGAAGTTTCTTGATGCCAGTGGGGGGTCTTGATCCAAGGAAAATTGACCTTTTTGATCTTTTATATATCTTTTTTGGAATCAGTTTTTAAATTATTGCTTTTTTAGCATTCATATTTTATTTTGGTGGAACTATGCTGTAGCTTATTTTTTGTATTGTTTTAATTTATGAGCAGGTAATTATGTACTGATATATTGACATAGGGGTAAAGAAGGACTGCAAAATTGAAAATAGTACAAAAATAACATGTCAAGGACGGGGAGCACAATTTTCCTAAAAACCCTCTAGCCAAAGGCAGCTGTATGTATGATATAATAAGAATAATTTTTATTTTGAATATACATGGTTGTACGGGAATAAGTATTTGGGGGTGTACATCCAAAAGCCCCTTAGTTGCAGAACATTTCGGGCAAACTTAAAAATAAACTTAAGATTAAAAGGAATAATTTTTTTTTTAATATGGTCATTAATAAGTTAGAGTTAGACAAGAGAATTGAATTTTCTATTAATAATGCTACAGGCTTTGAAAGTCTAGTAGAGAAAAATTACACTTTTGAATTAGTTATAAAGTTTCAGATTAAAATAGAACATTTAAAAAAAAATTTTTCAATATGAGTATTACAATTTAGACCATTTAAAAAAAAAAATTTGACATCCAATTTTGAAGTAAGAAAATTTCGTTCGATTTTTAACCCCGGGGGGTTAGCCACCCGGGGTAACCCAAGAAAACATGCGTCATCGGGATTAATACACCGGGAAAAACCAGAGGGAAATAGTACCGAATTGCACACAAAATCACTCCCCTCGAAAGCAAAAGATTGCAAACATGCACCACCCCCCCCAAAGAAAAGCAGGGGGGTCACTAGCACGTTAAAGACCATACAAAATGTCAGGGGCCCAGACGTTCAACTGCCCCTCCCCCACACATAAGGGGGATTACCAAAGACCCCTGGCAGTCTTCAAGCTGGCACTGGCAAGCCCTAAATCATTCCTAAACACCGGGGGGTGGGTCGTACGTTGGTTTGCGTGCAGCCAGCAGCAACAGCCTGGTTGATCAGGCGCTGATCCACCAGGAGGCCTGGTCACAGACCGGGCCGCGGGGGCGTTGACCCCCGAAACTCTCTCCAGGTAAACTCCAGGTAAACTTATTTCCATTGGGGTCCTTAATCTTGTCCCCCAGGATGCGACCCACACCAGTCGACTAACACCCAGGTACCTATTTGCTGCTAGGTGAACAGGACAACAGGTGTAAGGAAACGTGTCGAATGTTTCCACCCGCCGGGAATCGAACCCGGGCCCTCCGTGTGTGAAGCGGGAGCTTTAGCCACCAGGCCACCAGGCCTGGGATATCGAAGAGTGATTAGTGCCTCGTATTATGGCTGTGTGTTCTGTTACAGTTATCAAGGAGTAGTTTGAGAGGAGGGTTTATATTTGAGTGGGCTAAGAACACTCCCCTGTGGGAATCCAACAAGAATAGGTTGTGTAGTGGAGTTGGCTCCATTTGTGTATTCACACTGGGTTCTGTTGCTAAGATAAGATTTTAGGTAATTAAAAGAGTGTTCTCTGACCTCGTAATGTTCAAGTTTTAGGTGCAAAACGTCAAGGTCAGCTGTATCAGAAGCTTTTCATAAGTCTATGAAAAGTCATTCAGTTATGGGACAAATTTTACGAATTGTAGTTAACTGATTAAGCTTTTGTTGCCTGTACTGTTATGCTTGTTACCTTTTTCTGCTGTGGGGAAAGTAATGGGTGTAACCTTTCCAACCACTGTTAATTCTTTTCATTGTGTCATGCAAGCTGCACCTTCTCTGGATAATGTAATAACCAAACAGTACCTGGAGTTTACCTGGGGAGGGTTTTGGGGGTCAGTGCCCCCGTGGCCCGGTCTGAGACCAGGTCTCATGGTGGATCAGGGTCTGATCTTTAACATATATCCCCATTATACCTTCAGTAACAAGATTAGTGAAATATCTGATGAAAACTCTACATTTGACTGCATATTCATGAAAAGTGACCTCTCAGAGGGAATAAAGCAGAAGAGACAGGCAAAACTGAGTAATGATTCATATATGGAATGCACTAACTAGAGTTCATTATAAAATAATAAACATTTCCAGGAGTAATGTTCATCTGAACTCGTATTATACTACCATAACTGCATTGAGATCACTGATACTCTACAAACAATGGACTGTAATTGTATGATTAATATTGATAAGATTAGACAGCATGATAAAGCTACACCCAGACAATTGTTGGATGTCATGTGTGATTGATATGCACCACTGACACTTCGACTTTGATTCATTGGCATATTACATGTGAATTTTGCAGTGACTCCTTTTATAGTGTTTTTATAATAGTATAAAAGAAAAGAAAATTTAGAAAATAAAATTAGCAGTATGAGTGATCCTGTTCTCCAAAACATTTCTCCATATGACCTTGCAAAACAAATTTTACCTCAGGAAAAGGAAAGATCTGGGATACAGGAAATTAATCACAGATCTTCCCTGACAAAGCAGTCTGAGGAGAAATTGAACAATCAGAGGGTATCCAACAATGCACAGGATGAAAGTTTGGTTCCATCAGCAGATGTTGGCACTCAAGACAATAATTGTCATGTGTCTCCAGAGACTTTAAATTTTACACTCAATAGTATGAAGGAAAAAGAATATTCAGGTATAGCTTATTCTGACTGGTACAACCGTTTTGATCAAAGAGAAGTGAGAGAGAGGAAAGACTCAGACCAAAAGGACACATCAGGCAGTGGCTACATTACTTGTCATTCAACAGGTGAAGATGAGGTAGATGGCTTTATGTAAGTATTTGAAATGCAATTCTTCATTAAAGTATTAAATGTTTTAATGCCTCAAGGGTGTGCCATAATGTTGGTGAAAGGATCTTGAGACAAAAAATTTGAATTATCCTCCCCTTCCTTGGATCAAACCTGATTTTCCCTTATTCTCTAAGTGTTGTATGGCCCCCATGGGTACATGTGTCCCAACGAATATAATAATAAATAACAAAGAGGCACAATACTGTGACTGGACCAATGCACAGATAACCTACACATAGGAGAGAGGAGCTTACGATGACGTTTCGGTCCGACTTGGGCCGGAGAAAAAATTCTTTTCCTTCCCCATGGAGATGAAAGGAAATAGATAAGAATAATAACTATTAAGAAAATAAAAAAATTTAGATGGGTGTGTATACATATACTACATGTAAATGTACATGTATATGTAGTGTAACTTAAGTGTAAGTAAAAGTAGCAAGATGTACCTGTTTTCTTGTGTGTTTATGAGACAGAGAAAAGACACCAGCAATCCTACTATTGTGCAGAACAACTACAGGTTTCCGTTTCACACACATTTGGCAGGACAGTAGTACCTCCCTGAGTGGTTGCTATCTATCAACCCACTACCATGAAGGGATTCAGGAAAATTGGTTAGCTGGACTTGAGTCCTGAAAGTGGGAAGTACAGTGCCTGCACTCAGAAGGAGGGGTGGAGATATTTTTTAGTGTAGGCACACTTCTGACAAGACAGTGATGGAGTGAGTGGTGATGAAAGTGTTTCTTCTTTTTTGGATCACCCTTCCTTGGTGGGAAATGGCTGATATGTTAATAAAAAAAAATTAGTGATCTAATAAATATTGTACTGCATTAATTATTTAGATTTTAATAAACATTATTACATTAAAAGCTCAATTTAACAAACCCTGATTTAACAAATTTTGGATTTAATGGACAAAATCCAGAAACAACAAAGTTTGTTAATTCCAGCATTGTACATTATTGATACAATCTGTTGGATAAATTTATTTCAGATTTAACACCATAGGGGTCATACAGTGCCTAAGAAATGGGAGATGATGAGGTTTGATCCAAGGAAGGGTACCTACAATTCTTTGAATCAAGAGCTCATCACCAACACCAAGGCATCCCTCTCTTGAAGGGATTGCCCTGTAAGATTAGACTTCAAAGTCAAACCACAAAAGACCTCCCAATGATCTGGAGGATAGATCTTGTAGGTTTAGGATGGATGTAAGTTCATATATTTCTTGGTAAATATTAGTCAAGCAGTAGAGTTCAGTCTCAGAATGAATCTCTATGTTTGAATGTTATATTAAGTTTGCATTATGCACCATAGGCTGGGAACATATCTATCATTTATTTGACATAACTTAAAAGTAAATTTTGTTATGCCGTAATTATTATTACATATAGTATTACACAAATAACCTGCACTTAGGAGAGAAGAGCTTATGACGATGTTTCGGTCTGACTTGTACCATTTACAAAGTCACACTAACAAAAACTTCAGAGCACCCATGACTTAACCTGATTCTTTTTTCCCCTTCTCCCTCTTCCCCTTTCCTCTTTCCTCTTTCTCCTTTGGGCTATCTTTCTTCTGCCTTGGGGATTTGGTCCATTATTATTATTATTTCCCCCCCATCCATGTTCCTGTTCCTACCCTTTGTGGGCTCCTAGCTCCCTTGCAGTGCTCCTCTTTCTTAGTACAGTGGACCCCCGGTTAACGATATTTTTTCATTCCAGAAGTATGTCCAGGTGCCAGTACTGACCGAATTTGTTCCCATAAGGAATATTGTGAAGTAGATTAGTCCATTTCAGACCCCCAAACATACACGTACAAACGCACTTACATAAATACACTTACATAATTGGTCGCATTGGGAGGTGATCGTTAAGCGGGGGTCCACTGTATTTGACTACTACTACTACTACTACTACTATTACTACCACTACCACCAGATCTACCACTACTACTACTACCACCACTACTCTTCTTCCCTTCCTACTGCCTCTCTTGTCCCATCCCTGTCTGCTGGCCTGTATGTACTCCTTCCTTCTCTCCTCTTTGTTAGTGTGACTTTGTAAATGGTCCAAGTTAGGCCGAAATATCGTTGTAAGCTCCGCTCTCCTATGTGCAGGTTATTTGTGTAATACTATATGTAATAATAATTACGGTATAATGAAATTTACTTTTAAGTTATGTCATATAAATGATAGATATGTTCCCAGCCTATGGTGCATAATGCAAACTTAATATAACATTCAAACATAGAGATTCATTCTGAGACTGAACTCTATTGCTTGACTAATGTTTACCAAGAAATGTATGAACTTACATCCATCCTAAACCTACATGATCTATCCTCCAGATCATTGGGAGGTCTTTTGTGGTTTGACTTTGAAGTCTAATCTTACAGGGCAATCCCTTCAAGAGAGGGATCCCTTGGTGTTGGTGATGAGCTCTTGATTCAAAGAATTGTAGGTACCCTTCCTTGGATCAAACCTCATCATCTCCCATTTCCTAGGCACTGTATGACCCCTATGGTGTTAAATCTGAAATAAATTTATCCAACAGATTGTATCAATAATGTACAATGCTGGAATTAACAAACTTTGTTGTTTCTGGATTTTGTCCATTAAATCCAAAATTTGTTAAATCAGGGTTTGTTAAATTGAGCTTTTAATGTAATAATGTTTATTAAAATTTAAATAATTAATGCAGTACAATATTTATTAGATCACTATTTTTTTTTTATTAACATATCAGCCATTTCCCAGCAAGGAAGGGTGATCCAGAAAAGAAGAAACACTTTCATCACCACTTACTCCATCACTGTCTTGTCAGAAGTGTGCCTACACTAAAAAATATCTCCACCCCTCCTTCTGAGTGCAGGCACTGTACTTCCCACTTTCAGGACTCAAGTCCAGCTAACCAATTTTCCTGAATCCCTTCATGGTAGTGGGTTGATAGATAGCAACCACTCAGGGAGGTACTACTGTCCTGCCAAATGTGTGTGAAACGGAAACCTGTAGTTGTTCTGCACAATAGTAGGATTGCTGGTGTCTTTTCTCTGTCTCATAAACACACAAGAAAACAGGTACATCTTGCTACTTTTACTTACACTTAAGTTACACTACATATACATGTACATTTACATGTATATGTATACACACCCATCTAAATTTTTTATTTTCTTAATAGTTATTATTCTTATCTATTTCCTTTCATCTCCATGGGGAAGGAAAAAATTCTTTCCTCCGTTAGTCATCCGTGTCGTAAGAGGTGACTAAAATGCCAGGAGCAATGGGCTAGTAATCCCTTGTGTATAAATTACTAAAAATAATAATCAGAAAAACTTTATAAAGCTAAAGCAATATTAATTGTATATGTATTTCTGCATAGAACTGTGTTCCCAGTGAAGAGATTAAAAATGTTGCATTAGTGAAACACTGTAAAGTGGGGCCCTCCTGTAAATACCTGTACAACCAATTCTACCTTTTGTATCATACTATGTACTATAAATTTTTTTACAGATCAAATATCAAGGAAATAATGTCTCGCCAACGTTCTGAATCCGTTGCTTCCCTGGATTATTATCGTTCACAAGATACCAGTTTGCAGGTACAGTTTGTAGTGCATATTTTGATTCTTTACAGCTGTTTGTGATGAATATAACATGCTTCACAACATGGAGCTTGGAGTAGAATAAGTTTGTGATTACCTGTTTGTAGTTTTGCTCCTGAATAAAGCTGTATTTGTGGTGTCCAGTCTTCAATGTTTAGTTTGTAATATGCAGTAATTGCTTCACATTTCCAGTAGTATTAAAATACTGTGGAACCTTGACTTACGAGTTTAATTCGTTCTGTGACCTAGCTCGTAATTCAATTTACTCGTACTATATCAAATCAATTTTCCTCATTTAAATTAACTGAAAAGCCATTAATCCATTCCTGCACTCTGGAGACAAGACAAAATGCTTGAATATGACACTAATATCAACTGTACGGCTTATTTAATTATCACAATTCATCTAATATGAAATAATAAATAATATAATTATCACAGAAACATGATATACTACATATACTCTAGAATAAATAAAATAGGCCATGATATAGTGGTAGAGGCAGCGGCGGAAGTGTCCACCATTTCCTCTCTAACTTTGACTATATTATCTTCCCATGCTCTTATTGTAAGAGAAAATGGAGTATTTGTGAGGCTAATTGCAGAAATATCACATATAAAAACAATAAATCATAATACATATGATTTAAACTGTTTATATAAAGTGTATATGTACTAACACACTTGGAGCAGGGATGGTGGGGGATGTTGAGGGTGGAGGATGTTGAGGCTGCAGCATATGATGTCAGTGACCCTGTAAACCTCCAACAACATTGTTTTGTTTAATCACTGAACATAACTGATACAACTTTAGTATATACATGTCGTAGATGTACTAAACTGGTATTGCCTGGCTAAGTCCATGGAAATCAGCGTTTTTTTTCTTCTTAGCACTGTCCTTTGCACTTATTTTCTTAGGACCCATGGTTAGAAAAAAGAAATTTGGCCAAATGACTTAAAAAAAAATGCAAGCAAGCATGAGAGAACTGCTCCTACAGCAATGTAAATGTGTACTGCTTACCAGACGTTTTGGCATCAGCTGTGCCAACTAGCGGCAGCATTCTGAATTATTATTATGTACGTATTAAGTATTATTATTATTATTATTATTAGTTTAGGGAACTGAAGCTCTATCACAAATAATAATAATAATAATAATAATAATAAATATTATTATTATTATTAATTTAGGTAACGAGAACTGATCCAATTCCCTAGATCAAGAGCCCCTCACCAGCATCAAGGAGCCTTGATGCTGGTGAGGGGCTCTTGATCTAGGGAATTGGATCTGTGCTCTAGTTACCTAAATTAGTAATAATAATAGTAATAATAACTAATAATTATTATTATTATTATAACGAACGCTGCCAACTCAGTGCACCGTTTACCTCGCTGTGGGAGCAGTTCTCTCATGCTTTGCTTACATTTTTGACAGTCATTTGGCCAAATTTCGTTTTTCTAAGCATGGGCCCTAAGAAAATAAGTGTAAAGGACAATGCTGAGACGAAAAAGAGGATGATTTCCATGGAAATACAGCATGAAATTATAGATAAACAAGCGAGGTGTCCATGTTTTGCATTGATGGGGAAGCAGGGGGAGCTGGCTCGTAACTCAAATGGTGGCTCATAACTCAGAGCAAAAAATCGACCCAGGGACGGCTCATATCTCAAAAAGCTTGTACGTTGGGACACTCGTAAGTCAAGATTCCACTGTACTTAATACAGTGTACCTCTTTTCAGATCCCATTCCAGCAGTCTACCACAATTTATGAAGGAACACTGTACGTACTAAACTTTCTAGCATTTTGTGATATTTTTTATTCATACTATACAAGGGTGGTGCCAGAATTTCTGTACTGGAGGGGCTTAAGGGTGGCTCTGATTTGGAGGGAGGGAGGGCTAGGTTTGTTTGAAGCAGCATTATTATTACAGTATTACTATTTTTATTTGGGGGGTATAAAGCCTCCCCAAACCCCCTCTTGGTGCTACCACTGATACTGTAGCTTATAACTGTATCCTGTTCTTTCTATTGATAGTGCTAAAATATCCTTCACATTTCAGATAGCAGCAAGAGAGGAACTACAGGATCGAGGACAGTATTCTGCAAGTAATGGAAGACAAATGCAGCAGTCACGGAGACTACCATTCTGGCTCTGGTTCATTATAGCCAAGAGTCTGGGTATCAAGCTTCATGCTGAAGACAAACCAATTATTGCTACTGTCCTATACACCATTACATTTATGAGTGCATTAGGTGAGTCCTTCTCCTGTTATAGAAGAACATGCATACACTATTGATATTTTTATTTCTTCAATTTTTTGCTGCTATATCTTATTGATGTGTTCATTTGTTTCCACTTGGAGCTGTTGAAATTATTAACCCTTTGAGGGTTTCGGACGTACTAGTACGGCTTACGACCCAGGGTTTTTGACGTACTAGTATGCCTAAATTCTAGCGCCCTCAAATCTAGTGGGAGAAAGCTGGTAGGCCTTCATATGAAAGAATGGGTCTATGTGGTCAGTGTGCACAGTCTAAAAAAAATCCTGCAGCACACAGTGCATAATGAGGAAAAAAAACTTTGACCGTTTTTTTGGAATAAAACAGCGACTTTGCACTGTATTTTCGTATGGTATTTATTGTTGTATTCTAGTTTTCTTGGTCTCATTTTATAGAATGGAAGACATATTACAGAAATTGAGATGATTTTGACTGGTTTTACAATGAAAGATACCTTGAAATTGAGCTCAAAGTAGCAGAAATGTTCGATTTTTACCAAATTTCAAAAGTAAACAAATCATGCCAATGGCCCAATACACGTCAACTGGTGAGTCTAATATTCTTTCACAAGTGTGCCAATAATATTTGTACAATTTTTTATACTAATGCAGTAGTCTGCATAACAGTAAATCTTATATTTTTTGTGAGAATAAAAATTCAAAGTGGAAAGCAAAAGAATATAAGAGGGGCCTTGAGACGTGACTAATGACCAGAGGAAATGTCATTTTAGTGTCAGGAATGTCTTTCTTATTTATTCTGGACCCTATTCGGAAATTGGCATCTTTTGAAATTTGTATGAAATTGGCAAAATTGCTAAATTCTGACCACTGTACTGGATAGTTGAATTTCATAAATGGGTGGTTTCTTGCACCCATTCGATAGAAAAAATGGAGTTCTAGCGAAACATTCATGTTTTTTGTCGACTAGTACAGTGGAATTGGCCGAAAATGGGGCTCAAAGTGGGCAAAATCGCCGATGCGTAAATATCCCCGAGACCGCTAACTTCGCGAGAGCATAATTCTGTAAGTTTTCCATCAAATTTCAAACTTTTGGTGTCCTTATGATCGGGAAAAGATTCTCTATCTTTTCATAAGAGAATTTTTTTTTTTTTTTTTTTTTTTAAATTTGGCCGACCCTGAGAACGAGTTTCGGAGAGGGCCTGTCGACCCTCAAAGGGTTAATAAATTAATGCAAATTGTACACATTGATTTTTATACATCTCAATGATAATTTCATTATTTGTTTGACAATTTTTATTGTATTTTTGTAAGAAAAAAAATGAAAAATGTATTTTAATGATATTTGCATCAACTGTACATTTAATCTGTGACTGGCCTGTGACCAGACTTCCCTGATGATTTTCTGATCACCCAGAGTATTACCTTGAACAGTTATGGACTCTGTAAACAATTTTAAGGTGTTTATAATCTTATGTCTGCCAGACATACACTGCATAACTGTGGCCTTTTTATGTATGATAAAACCTTTATGTAATGTAATACAGTGTATCATGGAAAATAAACTTTATTTTAACCTTCAGGCCCACATAGCCATTACAGCAAGGCTTATAGGCACCTCCTGCAGTAACTTGTCTGAATGTTGACATAATGTTCTCTTACCTTGCTTATTGCATCTCTACTTTTTTCATTGAGTTTATACTTCTTTCATATCTCAAGCTCTATGTTGTTACTTTAGTGTGCAGAATAGATATTCCATGTGTAATATGATATACAGTATTTCTTTACTCCATTCTAGAGAATACATTCTGAATGCTTTGAAGCTGTCTCTGAAGTTTGAAAATTTAGTTGACCCTATGAGAGCAGCAAATTAGCTGTACTATAAATTATATGTGTGCTTTTTGCTCAGATATTTCATCTGTTATGAAAGGGAGTGTAAACACAACAGTATTCCAAATGACAGAGTATAACTTCCTAGTCATTGGTGTTGCATCTTTTGTTTTAAATGTTTTGCATTCACCAGATTGTTTTCCTATTCTTTGCTACATATGTTTTGTTGTGTCTGATTGTTAGGACATCTGACATTAGTATGTCTACAGCATTTTTTTATGTTCCGTCTCTTTCTTTCTTCTTTCAACAAACTGGCCATATCCCACCGAGGCAGGGTGGCCTAAAAAGAAAAACATGAGTTTCTCTTTTTAATTTTAGTAATATATACAGGAGAAGGGGTTATTAGCCTCTTGCTTCCAGAATTTTAGTCATCTCTTACGACACACATGGCTTACGGAGGAAGAATTCTGATCCACTTCCTCATGGAAAATGTTCCTTCTCTCTTAAGACAAAATCTGACTTCCATATACTGTACTGTACTTATTTTAGGCTCTTTATTCTTTACACATCAGAGCACTTGGAATTTGTCACTACTAAGCATCATATTTTCTTTGCTGTCCATTGGAATATTTTGTTGATATTTGATTGTTTCAGTGTCTTCTATTAGGGTAACTTTCATGATTATTTTGGAATCAGCTAAAGAAGACATAGCTGTTATATGTTTTCTCTATATTTACTCTGAAGATGAGAGAGAAAAGTTGCCAGGACAATGCTTTGTGGACCTGATTTTTTTAACGTACTCAGAATGAATTTGACTTTGTTTACTGTCACTCAGTGATCTGTATTAGTAACTTGAATATCCACTTTCCTCTGTCACTTATTATGTCTTTGATCTCATTTTACAAAGATTTGCAAAATGTGTAAAATACATTGAAAATGATTTTTTGCCTGTTTCCCAGTGATTTTGTTGTAGTGGTTCAATAATTATGAGAGATATAATCATTCTGCTATAAACCTTTGGTGACCTGAGTTGTGTAGCTCAGGCTTTTTCCTTAAACCAATACATGTAGGTATAATTTTTTAGTACTCTCAAGGACCTTCATGATACATGATATTAGTAATACTGGTCTGTAGGTTTTTCCTGTAATCTTTCTTCTTCACACCTGAATCTACAATAAGATTTTTTCCCAAAGCACACTTAGTTTCTGTGCATATGATATTTTGCATTATTTTTATAAATACAGCATTCCAGGAATAGTCCCATTGCTTGATGAGTGCATGGTCATGTTTTCAATTTTTTTAAATCTTTGTATCTAGTACAGTGGACCCTTGGCTAACGAACGCATCGCATAAAGTTAAATCCGCCCAACAAAGTGTTTGAGCGTAAAAAATTTTGGCCTGGCTAATGGTAAAAAACTCGCCCAGAGTGATTCATCCCGAACCTGTCCGTCCAGCCTGAGTGCCTCAGCTGCCCTGCTGTCATTGTTTACAAGCCAGGGTGGCCAGTTTCATGCATGCATTCAATACATTTTGTATTATTCCATTGTTTATAGTGCTTGTAACTGCTAAATAAGCCACCATGGGCCCAAAGAAAGCTTCTGGTGCCGACCCTGTGGTAAAAAGGGTGAGAAATACTATCGAAATACTATCGTACCACCGTCAGCTGGTGCTGCACCACCGTCAGCTGGTGCTGCACCACCGTCAGCTGTACTACTTGAAGATGTGGAGAGACTGTTGTTGGTGTGGCTTAATGAGAAACAATTACCGAGAAACGACCCCCAGAGGGTTAGCCATCCAGGATAACCCAAGAAAGTCAGCGAGTCATCGAGGATTGTCTAACTTATTTCCATTGGGGTCCTTAATCTTGTCCCCCAGGACGCGACCCACACCAGTCGACTAACACCCAGGTGAACAGGAAAAAAAATGCCTGGAACTAGTGCTCATATTGGTGAATTTAAGGCCAGCAAAGATTGGTTTGAGAGATTTAAGAATTGTAGTGACATACACAGTGTGATAAGGCATGGCGAAGCTGAAAAATTCCAATCCCAACAAGTGTTCAATTGTGACGGAACAGGCCTGTTCTGGAAGAAAATGCCAAATAGGACCTACATTACTCAGGAGGAAAAGGCACTCCCAGGACACAAGCCTATGAAAGACAAGCTAACTTTCTTGTTTTGTTGTAATGCTAGTGGGGATTGCAAAGTGAAGCCTTTACTCATGTATCACTCTGAAAATCCCAGAGTGTTCAAGAAAAACAGTGTCTCATCACTCATCAATACTCCTCAATAAAGATAAGTGTCATTTTAACATTTATTTATATAGTATTGTGCATGTCTCATTGTTTTTGTAGGGAAATGTATATTTCATGAAAAAAAAAATTATTTTTTTAATACTTTTGGCTGTCTGGAATGGATTAATTGGATTTCTATTATTTCTTATGGGGAAAATTAATTCGGCTAACAATAATTTCGTCTAATGATGAGCTCTCAGGAATGGATTAATATTGTTGGCCGAGGGTCCACTGTATCTAATATCACATAGCATTCATAGAGGGAGTAGAGTGTGAACAGTTTCTAGGTCTTCAACTGTTATGATGTAGATTGATTTGCTAAATATATATTCATACTATTTTTTCAGGATTTTGCTCATTCATTTGTCATCAGCAAATATATGTACCTCTTGTAAGTAAAAGACAAGTATTGTACGGGGTTTTCTTTTTTGATTTTGCCTGTAAATATGTTTTTAGATCTTTCACAATAAACTGAATGGTTTTTTATTCCTTTTGTGTTTCTTCCATCATATATGAATGTTTTAGTTTCTGCTCCTATCAGTGATTTCTGTGTAGATTTTTCCTTCTTTTATCATTGCATTTGGTGTTTTGAGCGGCTCCTCAGTTTTTCAACTATTTTCTTCTGTAAAGTGCTCTCTTTCTAAATTTCTGTCTTCCAACTATCTCTTTGGGACATTTTATAGACATTGTATGTTTCTGCACTTAGCTTTTATGTATTGGCTTGGGTTTAAATTACACTAGCATATATATATATATTTTTTTACCACACCAGAAGTCTCGCATTAAGGTAAGGTGATCCCAAAACAGGAAAAGCATTCACCATCATTCATTTAAATGCTATTATGCTAGAAGTGTGCAATCATCACAATTCAAATAATCCTCCACACTTCAATAACCAT